ACTCAGATGTAGCATAATGTTTGCCTGTGTGCAACCATGCTTCCTAGCATGAAAATAATGTACTAAACTTAAGAATGCAAGCAACCCTCAATTAAATGCTGTCTTTCATAGGAGTTGCCACAATTAAGGCAGTTCTTGTCATATATAAAATCCTGACAAAGACATGGTATGTTTGCTTATATATGCATGTTGGTCTTTAAGTCTTTGATAAGTAGGTTACATTGCATATAAACACAAAGGTTAGTATGGAATTTTTCAGTGGGATGATATCAGATCTTTCCTTGTCAGTGAGGAGGCCTATGTAATCCATGGGGAATTGGGTAGTATTTATCACTGGTGTACAAATTGGTTTTGAGTGCCCATCCTACAATGAGGGGAGGGCCTAGGCCCTGCCCTGGATGAAATGACAGACTCTGGAGATCCACCATGGAGGGCCTCACCATCCCTGGGTATTGGAGTGGATATTTGGTGGAAGATTGGGTGAACTGATGGGAAGGGCAGGGGAGGAGAGTAGGGAGAGGAAGCTGGGATTGACAGGTGAAACAGGCTTGTTTCTAAACTAAATAAAAATGAATAGAAAAATAATGTGAAATAGAAATGATATTAAAGATTATTCTCCAGCACTCCAAGATGTGTCACTTGGATTACTCTAAGACAAAGTTGAACAGCAATAACTAGGCAGGATTTGTGGGATCAAGACAATGTTGGGAAGCAAAAGGAAGAGATGCCAGAAGATGCAGAAAAGCAACATGGGCATTGCAAAGTAATGGTAACCAAGATACATAAAGGAACATAGATTAAAGGATACAGGTTAATTTACTTATAAGAGCTAGCAATAAACAGTCTTAAACTATGGTCCAAAACTTTACAACTAATGAGTCACTGTGTCATGAGGTGAGACATGTCTGGTGAGACAGTGAAAGGCACACAACTGGTATGAGAAGTGGGAGTTAAAATAGGGATATGGGAAGGACAGTTAAAACTATTGGCCATTTGAAGCATCATATGGAGACTCAATACTGTAAACTTCATATATATATATATATATATGAAACCCCCATTTCTAGGAATGGATCATATTTAATTGCATTGTTCGCCAAAAGGGCGCCATCAGAACTCCACAAACAATCCAGACTGCTGACAGGGCTACATATTGTTTTCTAAAAATTCATGATGACAAGGTGCTATTTTTGAGGATAACACCTATATAACTTGATGAAAAATAAGAAGTTAAGCTAGTGTTTACCTATAGCCTTTATCGTCACTGACTAATGTTCATGATACTGGAAAGTACTTTGCAAAATTTCCCAAGGGAGAAAAGTAACAACTAACCCAGCTACAAGCCCTGTGATCTACAATGATGACCTACTGGTAATATGTGGATTTGCAATCACAGTTACTAGTGGATTTGTGACAACTTCCCTTCTTCATGAGAGGATATTTTCTGTATTAAGCATGGTGCTTATGAATACATTCATAACCACTGTGAATTTGTACATGTAGCTCTTTTGATTGTATTCATTGACTGCCTCACTCCTGTGTGCCTCTGTGTTAATCACCATCTACTGCAAGTAGAACTTTCTCTGATAAGGCTTCAAGATGATTTTGTCTCTATGTATAAGACATTAGGAAGACAATTTTATATCAATTTCAAATAATTTTATGACTATTTAGTAGAACACAAAACTTCATCCCTAATAACTAGTTTTCACAGGTCTTGAATTTGCAATTTGCTCTACCAGGTAGAAAAAGCTAGAAACTCTGTGAAATATAATGTCTTGCCAAAAATGAAATGGCCACTTGTGCAATGATGTTACAAATATTGTAGGACTAACAAACTACATCCTGACTGCAGTAAGTAAGCATTGTTTGATGAGATGAAGCTCATATGTGGCATAATTTTATCTCTAAGAAATTATGACTAGACATGGCTAAATAATATGACTGAGTACTAGCCTAACATCTACATATTCAGTGACTCTCTGTCTTCATGTTTATTTATATTTATCCATAATTTTCATCTGTATGCTACCCTCCCACCTCCTAATGTGATTTGACCTTTCCTGTATCATTATTTCCTTTTGAACTTTCCTTTCATTGATTTTAGTAGCCTTTCCCCACAATATGCCCACTCTCTTACTAATTCTTTAAGCTCTGTGGGTGTTTCAAATGAAACATCTGTACCTGAAGTTAAAAGCTAACATTCATATAGGAGAGAAAACATGTGACATATTTTTCTGAATCTGAGTTATCTTAGATGGAATAGTTGTTTCAAACTCATTTCTTTACCTAAGAATTAAATTTTTACTTATTCTTTAAATAGTGGGAAAATAATTTATTGTGTAAATATACCACAGTTTTTATCCATTCATAAGTCTTGATGAATAGGAGGCTTACATTCTTATTGTGAATAAAGTATCAAAGACCATGATCAAAACGTTAGCTATTTAATAACATATAGTCTTTTTGGTTTATGCCCAAGAATATCTTAACTGAAAAATATAATAGAACTTTAGATTTTTATTTTTATTTACTTTTTTGTGAAAATGTTTCTCTTTGTAGCACTGGCTGTCCTAGAACTGGCTATGTATATCAAGTTGGCCACAAACCCAAAGAGATCTGCCTGCCTCTGATCTCTTGATGGATTGATTAAATGTATGCACCCTCTTTGCTTTTGATCATGTAGTGGATATTTACTTAGAGTTTTAGGATGGACCAAAATGAGCTCCATAGTGGCAGCATCTGATTGTATTTACATCAGCAGTGAGTAATTGCTCTGCATATTTTATATCCAACACTGGCATTGCCAGTATTTGTTTTCAGTTTTTATGTTATTTTTCTTGATCTTATGAACTCTGACTTTAGTAGCATAAAATCTCAATCTAATGTTACTTTTCACTTTCTTGATGGTTAAAGATGATGAACACTAAATATATTTCATCTTTAGAAACCACCATATTTTGTTTCATAGCCTAATTTTGGAATTGGTGTCATTCTCTCTCTCTCTCTCTCTCTTTATCTCTCTCTGTCTCTGTCTCTGTCTGTCTCTCCCTCTCTCTGTTTTCAGGACTATAGCTCTATAATAGAGCTTAAAGTCAGGGATAGTGATGCCTCCGGACTTTCCTTTAATGTGCAGTTTTGTTTTTGGCTATCCTGGGTTTTCTGTTTTCCATATATGGCTGATTATTGTTCTTTCAAGGTCTGAAACAATTGTGTTGGCATTTTGCTGGGAATTGTATTGAATATGTAGATTGCTTTTCACAAGATTGTCATTTTTACAATGTTGACCCTATCAATCCATGAGCATGGGAGATCTTTCCATTTTCTGGTACCTTCTTTAATTTTTTTCTTTAAAGAATCAAAGTTCTTGCTACACAGGTCATTCACTTGTTTGGTTAATGTTACCCTAAGGTATTTTATTGTGTTTGTGAGTATTTTAAAGGGTTATGTTTTTCTGATTTCTTTCCCAGTCAATTTGTCATCTGCATATAGTATGGTTACTGATGTTTTTGAGTTAATCTGTATCCTATCACTTTGCTGAAGGTGCTAATCAGCTATAGGAGTTCCATGGTAGAGTTTTTCAAGTCACTTATGTAGACTCTCTGCATAATCATCTGCAACTAGTGAGTGTTTGACTTCTTCCTTTACAATCCACTTGGTCACCTTTTGTTGTCTTATTGCTCTAGCTAGAACTGCAAGAACAATATTGAAGAGATACGGAGAGAGGAAATTTGTCTTGTTCCTGATTATAGAGAAATCATGTTGAGTCTCTCTCCACTTAGTTTGATGTTTGCTGTTGGTTTACTGTGCATTGCTTTTATTATATTCAGGTATGTTTCTGTTTTCCCTGATCTCTCCAGGACCTTTACCATGAAGGGGTGTTCAATTTTGTCAAAGCCTTTTTCATCATATTGTGAGATGACCATGTGGTTTTTCTTTTGCAGTTTGTTTACATTGTGGATTACATTGATAGATTTTCATATGTGTTTTTTTATTTCTAAGGGAGCTCTGTAAAAAGAGTTGTTCTCTAATGTTAATATGCTTATTGTGTCCTTTCTTTGGTTATTTTACTTATGTTTGCTTGTTTTATCATATACCAAGGTTTTTTATTTATCTTATTTTATTATTATTTCTTAGAATAGAGCTTGTTTTGTAATGAGACACAGAATTGTAGTGGATCTGGATGGGGCTGGGATGAAGAGGACAAAGTATTGTCAGGATACATTAAACAAAATACATAAATTCAGTAAGAGTAAAGGAATAATAAATAGTTTTGCCAGGTTTGATTCAGCTGACTAACTAGAAAAGAAATTTAATACATACATTGAATATTAAAAATAATATTTTCTTAAGAATAAATGCATAAATATGAAAGCATTATAACTTAGTGATGAGTTTTGAGGGTTTCAGAAACAAACTGTTAATGTTTACAAACTTGATGCATTCAATTGAAAAAAGTAATAGTATAAATTGTTTGTAATTTAGATATATGACATTTTACGTTCACATCAGAAATGTTTAAGGAAAGGATGAAAAGTTTGGCAGAATCCATTTTCCAAAACAAGAAAATATTTACATACTAAAATATGGCAAAATAAGTGTAGATAGCAAATAGAAACTAAATCAATAACTAAAAATTTAATAATCAACATAAAATAGGACAGAAAAGTTCAGCCTTTGGTAGATGATATGACACAGGTTTGTAAACTCTGATACAAAGGGGCAGATGCAGGAAAAACCTCTTGATTCAAGGCTAGTCCTGCTTCCAGGGTCTACATAGTGATACGCTCTCAGAAGAAAACTCACAACACTGATATTAAAGTTAGAGTTTGGAAGCCTACACTAGAAAGGGGTCTAATATAACTGGATGAAAGAAAAATAGCTTATGGAATTCAATATCATATTCTAACTTTGTAGCTAGTAGTTAGATTGCCTTGTGGCTGGCTTCAATCCTAAAATTTAACTTTGAAACATGTGGCCAAATGAAAATTTCATTAAGATTAATTAAAGTCATTTCTTCTATAGTGTGTATTGTCTCTGATGCCATGAAACATATTCTTATCTGGTTTTAACAAAATGATATAGCATTTCGGGGCAAATATAAAGCCTAGAAGTGCTGCACTGGAAGCTAAAATAGAGAAGACTTCCACAGCCACCATAAACTTCCCCTTGGTACTGTGGTAGACAGGAAGGAAAGTGACCCACACACTGAAGAACACAAGCATGCTGAATGTCAAGAACTTGGCTTCATTGAATTTGTCAGGAAGATTTCTGGACAAGAAGGCCATGGTGTAGCTCCCTAGTGCCAATGAACAGAGGTACCCCAGGACACAATGGAAAGCAATGGCTGAGCCCTTGTTGCACAAAATTATGATGTGTCCATGTTGAGCATGAGTATCTTGATCAACAAAGGGAGGAGAGGTTCCCAGCCAGATTCCACAAAGAATGATTTGGAGTAGAGTGAAGATGGGAATGATGTAGTTAGTGGCTCTTGATATTATTAACCACCTCATTAATCTCCCTGGAAAAGTAACCTTGAAAGCAATAACTACAGTAAGAGCTTTGGCCAACACAGTAGAGAGAGCCATGGTGAATAAAATTGCAAATGTCATCTGCTGCAAGATGCAGGTGACTGTGTTGGGCTGCCCAATGAAGAACAAGGAAGAAAGGAAACAAATGATGAGTGTGATGAGCAGAATGTAACTGAGGGCCCGATTATTGGCCTTTACAATGGGAGTGTCTCTATGTTTCACAAAGATGCCCAGAACAGTAGCTGTAATTGCAGATAAGCACAAGGCTGTGCTACTGAGTGCCATTCCCAAGGGATCTTCAAAATTTAAAAATGTCACAGCTTTCTCGAGGCAGTGGTTCTTCTCTGTGTTTGCATAATGGCTTCCTGGGCACTTCACACAATGATCCATATCTGGGAAGATATTATGGTGATCATGACAATGTGTTCAGATGTTTCTTTTTATCCTAAGTTACTTTCAGCACCAACTTATTGGATTATTACCTAAATGATTTTGTTTGGTCTCTCAGACATAAATAAACACTCTTTAGTGAGTAATTCCAAATTCATAAACCCTTTGATTTTCATGAAGCCACAAATTATCTAAAGCTAATCCCAATTTATCTGTATTTACTTTCATGTTTACCTTGAATTTATATATATATATATATATATATTTAATTTGTTTAAAGTAACTTCATTATTAAATTCCCTTACTTAAACCTAACTTTATTCTTATGTCAATTCTTTATAAAACCTCATTCCCAAATTGAATGTATTCTCATGTGTAACTAAAGAATTTTCATTAAAAGTAGATATTACAATGCTGATCACAGATAAGGTTCCCACTTTAGCCATTTTCACAGAGTTCATTGATTTCTTCAAGTTTTCTCATTATCTGATTGACCTTGAGTATTGCATATTAGTATATTTTAGATGTGTTATATTCTTTAATATTAAACTCTTGTTGTAAAAAGTGGTTACTATCTATATCCTGATCACAAGACTATTACAGAAGGCAACATGTAGATATGGCATAGAACTTGGGAAAATATGTCAGATAATTAACTGGAAGTTTCACAACTTCTAGTTAACATCAATAGTACTAGAAAGTTCTATATACACAATCAGAGAAGAAAATTATCATCTATCTCACCTCATATACTGTGAACTGTAACAACAGCCTACTGCAAGATATGTGCACTGATACAACAGTGTCAGGACTGTTAGGAGAGTGACAATTGCATTTTTATTGTATTTAACACCTGTTCCATTAGATAGAACCTATAGCTTATATTATTAATGCTTCCAGGAAATTGGATAGATTGAGTATTAGCTCATCAAGCAAACCTAAAATTATCAATCTGCTGAATGATCACAGAAATAAAACTACTCCTACTATTAAATCCCCATACTCATAGATCAGTCTATCATTCCATCCTCAGAAATTTCTCTTGCAGTAGATAGTGATTAATAAGATCCACAACTGAACATACAGAGAATAAAAGATATTGTACTGTTCATTCCTGAATGAAATGTCATTATCACACCTTACACTCAAGGCTTGGAGATTTGTATGGAAAAGGACATGGAAATTTGGTAAAAACAATGTGTCTGAGAGTTTGTATTATGGTGCAAAGACACCATGATCATGAAAAATCTTACAAAGGAAAACATTTAATTTGGAGTGACTATCCTACAATCCAGTGATTCAAACCATTTTTATTATGGTTGTATATATGATAGCATGTAGGCAGACATGGTGCTTGCTATTTCATAATCAGAAGGCAACAGGAATTGGACTGCAACACTGACTGCTCCATGAAGCATTAAAAACCTCAATGCACATTCACACATATAGTGACCAACTTATTTCAAAAAGGCAATACAAGCTCCAACAAAGCCACACCTTCTAATAGTGCCATTCCCTATGAACTAATGGAGGCTGATTACATTCAAATTCCCAAACCAGGTGTAATATATTAGTTTAAGAATACACTATTTTTATACAAGGTGATAAACTTGGATCTATCTGCAGTCTTCTGCATACCAGTACCAAGTTATGCCAGCACCATTTGTTGAAGATGCTTTCTTTTTTCCATTGTATAGTTTTAGCTGCTTAGTCAAAAATCAAGTGTTCATAAAACACAAAAGGATCCAATCAAAAGGTGGGGTACAGAACTAAACAGAGAATTCTCAATAGAGGAGGCTAAAATGGCCAAGAGACACTTAAGAAAGTCCACAACATCCTTATCCATCAGGGAAATGACAATCAAAACAACTCTCAGATACCTTCTTACTCCTGTCAGAATGGCTAAAATCAAAAACACCGAAGACAATTTATGCTGAAGAGGATGTGGAGAGAGGGGAACACTCTTCCACTGCTGGTGGGAGTGCCAACTTGTACAGCCATTTTGGAAAGCAGTATGGAGATTCCTAAGGAAAATGGGAATCAATCTACCACAAGACCCAGCAATTCTACTCTTAGGCATATATTCAAAGGAGGCAAATTCATACAACAAGGGCATCTGCTCCACTATGTTCATAGCAGCATTATTTGTAATAGCCAGAGCCTGGAAGCAACCTAGATGGCCCTCAACTGAAGAGTGGATAGAGAAAATGTGGTACATTTACACAATGGAGTATTACTCAGCAGAAAAAACAATGGAATCTTGAAATTCGCAGGTACCCAAGAGAAGAGAAATGAGGCCACATCCTCTGAAAAGATGGGGAACACGGCGAGGGTAGGAGGGGAGGGGAACCTGGGAAATAGAGAGGGGGAGAAGTGGAAGAGAGAGTAGGGCGTGGAGGAACAGGAAGGTCCACTGGGGATGTAGGATAGGGGGAAGAGGGAATTATATGTTAGAAGACAGATCAGGCACCATTGTGACTTCTAGTGATCTAAACGGATGACACCAATTGACAAGCTAAGCAATAGTGTAGAGACCACCTTGAATGCCTATTCCTGATAGTGAACTTGATGTCTATAACCATCCTGGAGCCTTCATCCAGTGACTGATGGAAGCAGAGGCAAACACCCACAGTTAAATACTGAAGAGAACCCAAAGAACCCAGCAACAGAGAGAGAGGAGTGAAGAGCAAATTGGCAAAGAATGGGCTGGCAAAACCAGCAGAGACAGCTGATCTCTACAGGGAAGAGCTCTTGGACACCAGACCGACAGCTGGGAGGCAAGCATGGGACTGATCAAGACCCCCTGAATGTGAGAGTCAATGAGGAGGCCTGGGCTACCTATGGGGTCCTGACCAGTGGATCAGTGTTTATCCCTCGAATACTAACAGACATTGTGTGTCCATAACACAAAGAGGGTTGCTCTCTCTGCCTGGACTCTTAGGAAGTGCCTGGACCCTACCCAGAATGAAATGATAGACTCTAGATATCCCCTATGGGATATCCCAACACAGATGAAACAGAATGGAATGAACATAAAAAATGTTTATGAAGATGATAGAGAACCTTAAAGAGGAAATGAAAAGGAAGAAAAACAAAACACTTCTAGAAATGGAGGAAAAGAGAAACCAAAAAGTGAAGAAATAAATAAATCTCTTAAAGAAAGCAAAGGAATCAAAGAAAATCAAGCAAAAAAGGAAACAATTCCAACAGTTCAAGGCTTGAATGTTGTAATAGTGACAATAAAAATACATGGTCTGAAGTAATTCTTTAATCAGAAAAGATGGGTAAATGATCAGGAACTGCAGATGTAAGGATAACCAACACAAGAGACAGAAGAAAGAGTCTCAGTCACTAAAGATACAATAGGAGAAATAGATTCATTGAACAAAGAAAATCTTAAATCCAAAAATCCCTAACAAAAATGTGCAGGAATTATGAACACCATGAAAAGGCCACAACTAACAGTAATAGTTATAGATAAAGGTGAAGAAGCCAATTCAAAGGTGCAGAAATCACATGCAACAAAATCATTTTCTGAAAGCTTTCTCATATATGCCAATGCAAATGCAAGAAACTGACAGAAAAACAAAGAGTGGACCACAAAAAGTCCCCTCACTACATAATAATCAAAACACCAAACATAGGGAAGAAAGAAATAATATTAAACACAAAGGAAAAATAAGGGCAGACTTATCATAATTATACCTGGCTGTTGCATGGAAAATTTGAAAGCCAGAAGGTCTGGATAGATATTCTCCAAACAATAAGATACCATGGATACCAGACCAGACTACTATACCCAGCAAAGTTTTTTCAAACACTATAGATGGAGAAAACAAGATATTCCACGACAAACTAGATTTAAACAATATATATATATATATATATATATATCCACTAATCAAGCCCTACAGAAAGTACTAGAAGGAAACCTCCAACCTAAGGATGTTAACTACACTCACAAAAACATAGGCAAGAGATAATCCCACTTTTCTAAAACTGAAAGAAAAGCAGGATAAACCCACATATAATACCAACAACAACAACAAATTCAAAACAAACAAGAATTAACACTCGATGGTACCTTATTTCCCTCAATATTAATGGTCTTAACTCGCCTATAGAAAAGACACAGAATAATAGAATGGATATGAAGACAGAATCCAAACTTCTGACACATACAAGAAACACACCTTAACTTCAAAGACAGAGTAACCTAATAGTAAAGGATTAGGATAGGATTTTCCAATAAAATGGACCCAAGAAACAAGCTGATGTAGTTCTTCTACCCTCTAACAAATTGGGCTTCAAACTAAAATCAATAAAAATAGATGAAGAAGGTAATGTTCATATTCATCACAGGAAAAGCCCATCAGGAAGAAATCTCGCTTCTGAACATTTATGCCTCCAAATCAAATATGCCATGTTCCTTAATAAAAAACATTGGTAAAACTCAAATTACACATAAAACCTCACACAATTATAGTGGGAAATTTCAATACCCCGTTCTCACCACTAGACAGGACCACCAGACAGATACTTAAAAAAAGAAATGAAAGAACTAGTAGAAGTTATGAGCCAATTGGGTTTAACAGACATCTATAGAACATTCCATTTGAACACAAAATAATATACCTTCTTCTCAGCACCACATGTAACCTTGTCAAAAATGGAACACATACTCAGAAACATAACAAACCTCAATAGATACAAAAAATGGAAAAAGCCCCTGTATCTTATTAGATCACCATGATTTAAAGTTAAAATTCAACAACAACACAAATGGCAAATATCCTATGAACTCTTGAAAACTGAACAATGCAAAATTGCAGCATTCATGGGTCATGAAAAAAGTAATTAAAGACTTCCTAGAATTCAATGAGAATGAAGACACAACATACTCAAACTTATAAGATGCTTTGAAAGAAGTGCTAAAAGGAAAGTTTTAGCACTAAGTGCCCACATAAATAACTGGAAAATAGTCACACTAGAGCATTAACAA